TTAGGGATTTGTTTATAAATAAGAGATGGGATATGGGAAGAAGAGATCATTTGTTGTATTTTTAGAGAAAGTGATATTAAAATTGTTTATACTTGTAATAAGAGGGGAAGTCATTTCTTTATATATTTTTCTTTTTCTTTACTATATTATTTTTTTCTTTCCTATTTTTTTCTTTTCTGCAGTTTCCATTTTTTTCTTTTTCTTTTCTTTTAGTTTATATTAGTTTTTATCTAATATAAACTTTAATTGTAACTTTTAGTATAATTACTATTAAAAAAATAAAAATAACACAGTATTAAAATCCCATCAACCAATTGTGAGCGGGAGTAGCAGCAGTGAATGTGTCACTTTTAATGTTTAATATGGTAAATATTGATAAATATAACCCATACAAACAAAAGCTCTTTTGGGGTCCTCCATAATTTTTAAAAATGGGAGGGGGTCCCAAGAGAAAAAAGTTTAAGAAACATTGCACTGGTGGCTGCCATTCTGCTGGCAGAGGAATGTAGCTGGATACAATTCATGTAATAAGACTCAGAGTGGTATACAATTAAAACAACAATAACACTGGAAAAAATGTAACAATCATAAAATACAATAAGGCTATAAAACAAATTATACCAAGTTATGCCATCCCATTCCAACATAAAGCAAAAAGCACTGTGTGTTTTATAACATCCAATTGAGATATTTCTTATTTCTGTGTAAATGTGCTTAGAAATATTTTAAATGCTTGAACAAAGAGTTTATGTATGACTTCTCTGTCCCTCCTCCCATTATAATTTTCCCCCTCTCTTCAGTGCTCCCTTTTGATCTGAATAATCATTATTTAATATAACATTGATCTCACAGGTCTAGATAAGTATGCGAGATTTGGAAAAAAAAAATTCTAAATGTCATAGGAGTTTTTAGAAAAAAGAACAAACTATAAAACTCTGTGACATACATTTTGTGATTAATTCCATTACAGTCAGTATCTTCCTCCTTACAGTGCAGTTCAGTGCATGTCTTCTTGAAATAAGCCTCATTATGTTTTCTGGAGCTTACAGATATATGTATAGGATTGCAACCTCAGTCAGTTTGAACTTAAACATAAATGAATTGGTTATCAGCCTAATTGGTACACAGAAGGTTATCAGCTATTTAAAAATATATTTAAATAGGCTTAGAGATTACCCGTTAGCAGCCATTGACTAAAAGGATTCTCAACTTGATTCATCAAATGCATTTAAAATAAATTTGCATTTTTTTTAATGCAGCTAGGTAATAGAGAAGTATGTTTAAGAAACGGTTAAGTGTTAGGAAACAAAAATCTCAGACTGTAATCTGTGTTTTAAAAAACCTGAACTTCGTTGAACAAATGTATGCTTTGTGCATGTAACTTTTTCTTTTATATGTTTTCTAGAAATCCTATTCTATGCCTATCAGCATTGAATTTCAGAGACGATATGCAACTATTGTTTTAGATCTTGAACAACTGAATAAGGATCTAAATAAAGTTTTACATAAAGTTCAGCAGTATTGTTATGAGGTAAGTGTTTTTGTCTAGTTTCATGTTTCAGAAATTAGGTAAACAGTAACCATAGGAGAAGCTACAGGTTCTTTTTTGAATATATTCAGAATGATATATTAGCATTTATGCATTATTGATATTTCTTCTATGCTACCATAGAAGCATAGAAGTTATCTTTCTTTTATATTTGATGTAGCTTGATAAAATAATTAACCTATATAGGTAAATGAAAAAATAGGATAAGCTATTCAGATGCAGGTGAGGCATATTCTGTCTCACAAATAAAAAGCTAGCACAGAAATTAAAAAGCTTATAGCCCAGTCCAATACTGATTTTTTTTTAATTTAAAGGTACTTGTTATATATGGGATCTTATTTGTTAATTGTTAATTGTTAATATATGGGATCTTCCTCCGATATTGGCTATTGTGTCATTTCAGCATTCTGGAGTAGGGGGATATCGGAAAAGTCAACATGATGTGATCGAAGTCCTGTCCCTTTTGTATGTGTATCAACATTGCACACAAATGCAAAGGGAGAGGGCTTCAATCACAACTGCCAACTTGATTTTTTTTATTCTCCCACAACAGATGATGCTGACTCTGCTTCTCATTCTGTTGAACATTAAGCCCAAACCGTTGCTTTTGCCCCAGTGAGGTTTTTCTTAAACACCAAAAATTGTTTAGTAAAATGCTAAGATACAATACTGCAGTTTTGAAATGTCAGTGTCCACCCTAGAAAATATGGCCTAGATGAGCATTTGGAATCCTGGCTCCTAAAATGTGACTCACATTTTAATTTAATTTTATGTCCCAGCTTGCTCCAGAACAAGGTCTCCAGCCCTCAGACCATCCCACAGATTTGAGACGAAGATGTGAGGAGGAAGCTCAGGAAATTGTCAGACAATCAAACACATCAACAACTGGACAACCTTGTGTTCAAAATGAAAATCTGACAGATTTGATTGCTAGACTTACAGCAGTATTATTGCAGATTAAGGTAAATATTACGATTATTGTTGAGAAGAATGCTTATTCTGAGAAATACACTCTGCCACTTTGGGTGAGGAGGCCTGTTTTGACCAATTCACATGCCTGAGTCTGGCCTCATAAATAGGCAATTATTACATATAGGATGTGACCTCCATATACACTCTTCAATCACCTTGTTCATTTTTTTCTTAGCAGAACCTAGTCTATAGTGATTCCCCGTTATTTATACTTGATGAGTATCAGGGTTTTAATAGTTTATCTCCCAGCCAGCACAGAATGCAATGAGATGGAAGTCATACCCACTACTGTTTCTCCTGGGGATGCCTTCCCCCATCATGTGTATATCTCTCGGTTGTGTGTGTCTGTCTATATACACGTATTTAAGCAGTACACAATAGAAAAGTTTCATTTTCATTCTATTCTAATTATTTTTATGAAATTTATTCCAGTGTCTAGCAGAAGGAGGTGATCTAAATTCCTTTGAGTTTAAATCATTAACAGATTCATTGAATGACATCAAGAATTCCATAGATTCCACCAATATCAGGTAAAAACTTAAAATTAAACATATATCAGATATCATTATATATACTGTAAGCTTTTCAATGGGATTGTCTATTGTATCCAGATGCAGACCATTTAGTAGGGGGAAGATTTGGTCAATGGTAGCAGCAGGTCAGTTCATTTCATGATGAGGCAACCATATCTCTCAATTAATAAGCTACCTTGATCACCAAAGTGATTATAAATGAGGTACAGTACATTAAAACATAAAAGCAAAGTAAAAGAAGTATAACCCAAACCTTGTTAAACAACCATATCGAAGAAGGGAAACACCATAGCACCAAAGGATTAATAGTCCAGTACCAATTCCTCCTGAGTTCAGGTGTCCTTCAGGAAGGCTATGAAGACCTGGCTCTTCCAGCAAGTCCTGGGCTCTGTGATTTCATGGACCCACTAATATGCTACATATGACTACTTTAATTTTTGTATTCCCTGGATAGTTTGCTATGTGGTTCTTCTTTTATTGTCACATTGTGGTTTTAACTTGTCCTGTGCACTGCCTTGTGTTGTTTGACAATTAGCCATACAAATCCAATACATACATATCAGTGAGGGTGTCACAAATTGCCCTGCCCCAGAACATGCTGAAAAGTCACGTAAGCAAGGTCAGGGTTGTGTGGACTTTGAGGGGGTACTGTTCTAAAGAACGGGGGCAACCATGGAAGAAGCAAGTTTCTGAGATCCCACAAGATGACATAATTTTATCAATAAGGCCAGGAGCATGCCCACCCTATTAGATCTAATAGGACAAACAGACATAATTGGAGAAAAATGGTTTTGTGGATATCCATGCCCTGAGACATGAAGTGCTTTATAGATGAAAATCTGGAAACAACTGGCAACCAGTGCAACTCATAGAGCAGAGGTGTTACTTGGGTGAACCAAGGTTACTTATACATTCTGGATCAGTTGTGGCTTCCCAGTGGTCTTGAAGGGCAGCCCCATGTATAGCTTGTTGCTGTAGTTCACACACAAGATGACTATGGCATAGGTGACTGAGAGTAAGACCTCCCAATCCAGGAAAGGGTGTAATCAGAACACAAGGTGGATCTGTTTAAAGGCCCTCCTAGCCAAAATTTTCACTACTCTTTGAACAGGAGCTATAAATCCAGGAGGGCTCCTAAATTGTGTGCCAGTTTTATTTGAGAAAGTGCTATTCCAGTAAGTACCAAAGTTGAAAAGCCCCTCATAATAGAGATCCCATGAATCCACAGCCACTAAGTCTAGCTGGGTTTGAGCCTAAACCTCTTCTTCCTCATTCAGACCCTAACAGCCTCCAGAGCTTGGCCAGAACCGCAACAGAATCACTTGTCAGCAGTCTTGATATATGACTGGGTGTCATCTACATATTGATGATAACTGTCCCCATGCTAGTGGATGACCTCACCAAGTATTCTCATGTTATTTATTTATCGTATATATTATGTTAAATAAGAGCTGGGAAAGTGTTGAACTCCAAGGAACCCTGCAATGTAGGTGTCTGAGTCTCCCCTTTATCAATATCAATGATGAAAGTACTATTACAATGCAGTGCCCTCTGCTCCAGTCCTCTGAGACATTTTAGAAGGATACCATTATGTTAATATCAAAGGACAACAAAAGATTAAATAGGGCAGGAGAGTGTTTGCTCTTCACTATGTTAAAGAACATGATTTTCTTTCATAGTTTTTGTTGAGAAATATGTCCCCTTTTCATGAAATTGACTGAAATTGTACCAAAAAAGGCAAATAAAGTAAATAGCTTGATGTCATAAAAATGAACCATTGTTGTGTGGAAAGTGAAAACATGTCTGTATGTGGACTATTTTCAAAATAGTAACAATGAAGAACTATTTTTTCTTTCTTCAGCTGTTTCCAGAATAATGTAGAGATCCATGTTGCACATATCCAGAGTGGCCTCAGCCAAATGGGAAATTTACATGCTTTTGCTGCAAACAATACTAACAGAGACTGAGAGAAACATTTACCTTATAATCCAGGTGTACAGAATATAGTAGTGAAAAATGCTTGGTGCGTACACTTCACCAAATATCCTACTAGTTGGAAGACAAAAGAAAAGGATATTTTGAGAGTGGTTGTACTGCTTCTGAAGAAACCAGCATAAAATTACCAGCATTGCTATGGACTTCATCACTTGCTATGCACATAATATTATCTTGTTTTAACAGCTAAACTTTAGTTATAATACGTGTGTGTGTTGTTTTAAACTGAAAGTTATGCAGACATGTTTCATACAAAGGAAAAACTAAATGTGGTTGCAGCAAATCCTGGCAACTATATTAGAAGTTTTGAAAACAGTGAAACTGATATGACACAGATGAGGGATTGTATTAATAATCTCTTCTTCTTGGAAACCATGGTCCCTCATACTGTGTCTTAATAGCTTTTTGATTTTAGCCTCTGAATAGTGTGCTGATTGATAAAGCAGTATGTATATTCCTGTTTTTGAGAAATAGCAGGATAATGGAATACCTGAAGGAGTGGTAGCAAATAGATGACTATTGTACACTTGTGGATACTGAGAATCCCTGTAAATCAGTTAATATCTTTGGAATGTTTAATTTATTGTAACTTATAAAAGTAATTGAATGAAGGAATAGAAAAGAACTCTTGAATTCCTATAAATGGATATAATATGCTTTTTCCCCTCCATAACGGGCAAAAAGTTTTTTAGTTAAGATATTTCACACAAATAACTGGTAATATTTTCCACTGATTGGTTTGCACAATTTAAACTAAATACCTGGTTATCAAGCAATTAATATAATTTTATAATGCAATTGGATAGCCAGTCCTCTAAACTGCCTTAAAAACTAAAGACCTGAGGAGTGTAGAGAAATATTGATCTTGTAAAAAGGGTGTATTGAGTTGTTATATTTAGTATAACCTTGTAAAGCTTCAGTGTAATAAATTGTTTTCAGATTTGAATTTTCAGATAGCTGTAGCAATGTTTTGATTCTTTAATACCTCATAAAATGAGGTCTTTTGTATGTTAATGTATAAAGAAAATGTAAACAATTATTTTCAATTTAAAATTTTGTATAGTTTTAAAAATGAATCTATATTCTGTGTCTGTATTTATGCTGCTTCAGAATTTAACTGCAGAGTCTATATTTAGCAAAGCCTGTTCTTTTAAGAAATGCATAAATTTTATTCTCATTGATGAGAAGCTTGCAATGTTTTACAAAAGTTGGAAACCATTTTAAACATGAAAAGCAGGTTGAAATAATTTTCAAAAATGGGATAACTGTTTTCAGAAATGCATTCTTGATTTGATGTCGAGATGTGAGGCAAAGAATTCTTAGGTTGGGAAAAATGAATTTGGTGAGAGCTTGGCAAGGAAGGCATTAAATTAATCCAAAAGGAGACAGAAGAACAGACTCAGTAGAGGAGTTCTTGGCATTAGGAACTTCTATTTATTTGTTTACATGATTTATATGAGCACCCATGTTACAACAGTGATTCTGGGTGGCGCACAGGGATTAAAACCACAGCTGCAACCAATAATGCATGATGATGGAGGTAAAACAATACTCCCCAATCATGAAAAATCACTTCAGCACCAGAGCTCACCTAACCATGGTTGTGTATGACAATGGAATAGGCCCAAGGCATGAAAGGGTATTCAGGATCCTCAGAAGGAGGCAGCAGGGAGATCAGTGATCTCAGGGTCTGTACACCAATCTATTGGAGGAGCTAGAAATCCTAACATGGGAAAACAAATATGATTTGATAGGTGTTATAAATCCGTGGGATGAGAGTCATCACTGGAATCTAGGGCTCAAAGGATGTTATGTTTTCTAATAAAACAGACATGAAAAAGGAGAAAGAGGAATGAATGTATGTAAAGAAACCATATGTCTGTGAAGAAATTCATGTCCCCATGGAGAGCATCTAAGTAAGATTAAAAGGTGTAAGAAACAAAAGTGATACCATTGTGGAAGTTATTATAGACTACCTACTCCAGCAGAAGATGTGGACAATGCCTTTCTAAATCAGCTTACCAAGCTCTCAAGAACGCACAATAGAGTGGCAATGAGAAACCTTAACTTCCTCAAAATCTGCTGGAAAACTAAGCTAGGAGTGGGAGATCCAGCAAATTTCTCATCTACCTTGACAATTTCAGAAGGCAGAGAAAAAATGTGTCAGCAATCCTGGGCCTAATCCTGAACAATAAAGCACTGGGGGTGGGGAGAATTATATGTTGGAGTCTGAGTAACCACAGGAGGAAAAAGGTGGGAGAAGTCAGTCACTTCATAAATTGTCCCGAAGGGAAAAGTACCAAGTGGGATCCTAAAGGCTCATCCTCAGCTGGTGCTTGCTATTCAACAACTTTATAAATAACCTGAAGAACAGAATAGAAATAAGGCTTATCAGGTTTGCAGATGACACCATGAAGGGGAATTGGGTAATACCTTCGGAACAAAATTACAATTCAAAATTACCTCAGTAGGCAGGAACAACTGAATGCTGTTCAACCGTGACAAGTTTAAGGTCACATATCTCATCAGGAAAAATCAAATGCATAACAGGATTGAGGAGACTTGGATTGCTTGTGAGCAGGATTTGAGAGCACCAACTGAAGATGAGCCAGCAATGTCATGCAGCAGCTAAAAAGGCCAATCTTGGATTGCATTAACCAAAGTGCTGGATCCAGATTAAGGAGGTAATATTTCCATTGCATTTCACAAAGGTTAAATTGTACTAGGAGTACTTTACCAAATTCTAGGCATTGCAGTGGATCCTTACTTTAAATAGCAAGTTGGAGATATTGTAGTTTAGCAGATTTTGAGCACTGAGCAGGAGATTGAACTAGCTGACCTATAAAACACCTAACTCATACCTTCTATGAGTCAATCAAGTACATGGTTCATTAAAAATGGATTACATAATCATGGTTTCTTATTTCCCTGCCCAGTAATTCTGCTAGGATAAATTGTAGTTTTAATTGATTAAGCAATATTCCAATACTATTGTATTGTAACTTTCAGATTTGCTGTCTAATCTTAAGTCTTAGAGCATTTTTTGTATTGATAATTTTTTTCTTGTGGACAAATGTGTTAACGTCATGTTTACATATCTATGTTACAGTTGAAAAGATTTTGATATTTTTGATGGTATCAACCAACTTGTAGATAAGGGTGATCTAATAGCTTTGGTATATCTTTGTCTCTCACCAAAGGCTCTGCCACAAACACCGCTGCCACAGGATAAGAGGACATGTGCTATTATGGGCTTACAACTGGCTAAAAAAAATAGGAAACTTAGTACTGTAGGACTAAATGGGCAGTCCTCATCCTGGGGAGTGGAGTTATCAGTTCCCCAGGAATAACTTGTACATAAATCTAGAGTTACAGCTGAGCAGTTAGATGTCCATATTTGCTGATGATACCAAACTCTTCTGGGTAATAAAATCAAGGAATTGTGAAGAGCCTGAAAAGGATCTCTCCAAGCTGAGTGAATGGTCTACAGACTGGCAAATGCAATTCAGTGCAACCAAGAAAGTCATGTATCTACACACAAAACATTTCCTGTACATTAATGGGATCTCAACTGTCAATGGCAGATCAGGATAGGGAATCTGATAGCATCGGTGGACAGCTCAATGAAAACGTCAATCTAGCATTCAAGCTGCTGTTTGAAAAAGGGAAATCCTGTGTTTAGAGTATTGGGGAATGGAAATGAAACTAGAACTTCCAATATGATAAGGCCACACTTGCTATATTATGTGCAGTTCTGGTTGTCATGTCTTAAGGATATTACAGAGCTAGAAAAGGGCAAAGGAGGGTAACTGAAAGGATTGCGGGGGTGGGGAGAGTAGCTCTATAGGGAAAGGATATAGCACTTAGGACTTTGGAGCAAAGGGAAGGGAAGAATGATAGAGGGATACAAAACGATGCCCAGTATAGATAACGGTTTTCTCCCTCCCACACTGTCAATACTCAAGGTCATTTTAGAAGTTAAATGCAAAGAGGCTTCAGATGGGAATGCTTATTCCATATAGCACATACTGTGGAATAATGTTGAAGGCTATGCCTTCTGAATCATACGCAGCATGTGGTGAATACCGGTTGCTGGGAAGTGACGGGAAGGGGGCTACACGCCCCAATCCAGGCTGGGGAGCATCTATCTGGCCACCGTAAGGCTGGCATAGATGGACTAATGGCTATTTTAAGACTGCAAGACGGCAGCTGGTAGATCATACACCCGACCCTTAATTTAGAAGCTCAGCCCCACTCACAGAATTAAACAATAAGCCCAACACTCTGCCTTCCCTGCTCATTCCCTCGCCAAAAGGCCAAATCGGCAAATTGAGAAACTAAACGCTGCAGCGTCGCAGAGAAAAGTTACGTGGGGAGGACGCACCTAAGGTACAAAGCGCCTCCTGCTTGCAAAACCAGGCACCTTTCAATGCCAACTTCTCCGTGGGTGGCGTCAGCTCTGAGACGCAGACCGTTTGTTCGTTTAACACTCTTCGCAGTGAACGGCTGCGAGGGCGCCGGGAAGTTGGGCAGATGGGGACCCGCACGGATTTCTTCTTCTCACCGCAGCCCCCGCGCACCTTCCTCGATCTCGGCGTTCCCCACTCCCAGAATCGCGGGCGGAGGCCTCCTGCCGCCCGCTTGTTGCTCCTCCGCCGGAGGAAAGGTCCCCGCAGCCGAGCGGAAGGAGGGAGGCCCTCTGTCGCCTTGCTTGCCAGCTCAGCCCGAGGCTCCAAGGGCCCGCTTCCAACGTTGTGGACAGGAACTGGAGTTTCATTTTGGAGGGACGGGGAGGGATGCGGTCCTGCGGAGATGACCTCTGCTTCTACCAGGGGAAAGAGCTGCTCTCGCTGAAAAACAAAAAGGGAGCCAAACGGCCCAGATTTAAAAACGGGGTTACTTTCCTTGAAGGTCTGTTTTAGCCACGGAGAGGCTCTTTCGGGCAAAGCAGGCGCAGTTGCTGCCTGGGTGGGAACTCTCTGGAACGGCCTTGCGGGGGAGGAAGGGCTCCTCCTCAGCAGAGGAAACGGTGGAGGCCTTGGGAGTCTCTGTGCTTGGTTGTTCTCTTGCAGACGTTTCACTACCCGGCGAGGTAGCATCTGCAGCACTCAAAGGGAGTGGGGTTTGCTCTCTGTTTATATACAGTAGCTTGCCCTGTCAGTGTTGGTGGG